TAGATAAAGGTTGGTGTAAGCAAGTACAGGCCAGTCACTTACAAAAATATATGACTCACAAATTGATGCCCGTCATGACTGGCCTATAGCAAGTGTGGAATACATGTTAGCTGTTGTTATTAGGAAGGACCAGAATGCCATGTGGGTCACTGGCTAAACATCAACTGTTAAACTGTACTACTTTTTAAAACCCCTATAAGATATATATTCAAAAATTTAAGATCCAGTCTAGAAAAGGGAAACCTAAGCATCTTTTGACATATAAAGATTCATTTTAAGGAAAAGCCATCTTTGCTGACCTTAAAATGATATGTCACCTTACATTGTCACAGGAGGATTGAAAATTGATCACCTCTCTTGATTGAAGCATTTTCACTCAAGACAAACATACAAACTCCAGATCCACAAGTTTAAACAATGCTACCCTTTATGTTTTTTGTGTTAGCTTAGCAGATTTGTTCTACTAAGGAAATCCTGATCAGTCTTGTGAACACTGGTACTTATGATGTTCACCATCTGGGCTAGTAGTGAATGTAAAACTAGGCCAGTATAGGATATCATGTAGCCTGAAGAGCCAGATCTTCAGTCTCAGTTTACAAGTTCTAACATGTGAATATAGACATTCTGAAATGGGACATAATTGGCCATAAGGGTGTGTCCTGTATATTTTGCTTTAAAATTAAGGAAGAACTTCATAAATATCAGAATTTGTAATTGTCAGATACTGTTCAGATTAGGTTCATTCTTGCATTGAGGCAGAGCAAGAACTACTATGACCTTAGCGGTGGCTTCTAGCCCCAAGATACATGTCTCAGCAGAAATGTGGACTCTTGGCCTGGCAAGAGAACAGTAGTATATTTACTATTCAATGTTGGAATCCATATGACATGAAAAAAATAAGAATAGACTTGGACATGGAAGAATTTTTCTCAGACCCTTTCAAGAAAGCTGACATTATCTTGCCTATTGAATGGGGGAAAGAAAGGTGGTCATTCTTCAAATAAACTGATCTTCTTTTATTCCTTCCAGCTGGTCTCCTCCAAAATACAGGTCAGCAAACTTGAAAGCAGCCTAAAACAGAGCAAGGCCAGCTGTGCTGACACGCAGAAGATGCTGTTTGAGGAACGAAATCATTTTGTCGAGATAGAGACAGAGTTACAAGCTGAGCTGGTCAGAATGGAGCAACAGCACCAGGAGAAGGTAAACTCTAGCAAGCCAAGAAGCTATACTGTGAAACCGTCATTGCCTTGTATTGTTAGTTTAAAAAGAAAATATGGAGATATGAAGTTTCCTTCAAAAGACCATGTGGCCTTTTCCATGTTTTGCAAATAAGGAGAAACCTGAAGCAGAGATGTGACTTATCTAAATTTACACATACCGGTGACAATGGCTCTTACCTCCAACTTAAATATGAATATTAGCGTGCTGAGAAATAGGCCAGGCACAGTGGCTCCTGCCTGTAATCCCAGCACTTTGGGAGGTCAAGGTAGGCAGATTGCTTGAGCTTGAGTTCAGGAGAGTGAAACCCCATCTCTACAAAAAATACAGAAAATTAGCCGAGCGTGGTGGCGTGCACCTGTGATCCCAACTACTCATAAGGCTGAAATGGGAGAATCGCTTGAACCCATGAGACAGAGGTTACTGTGAGCCGTGATTGCGCCACTGCACTCCAGCCTGGGCGACAGGAAAAAAAAAAAAAAAAAGAAAAAAAAAAAAAAACTATGCTGAGAAACATCCATGCTGTACTTACTACTTCATGCCATGAGAGCAAAAGAGAACAGTTTACTTCTAAATTATAAGGGAGCAGTCACCTGGATCACTGCTTGAACTAAGTCAAAATTTCTTTTTCCCCTTAGTACCTTTGTTACCACCCATTGGGCTGTGTCTTTTTCTAGGTGCTGTACCTTCTCAGCCAGCTGCAGCAAAGCCAAATGGCAGAGAAACAGTTAGAGGAATCAATCAGTGAAAAGGAACAGCAGCTGCTGAGCACACTGAAGTGTCAGGTATGATCACAAGGGAGAGGTCTCCAGAAATGAGTTTCACAGGACTGACTGAGAATCTTGTCTCATTTAGACCCTTGTACTTGCAGCAGAGAGTAATTAACTTCTGGAAAAAAGGTCTACAATGGTAGCCTCTACTGCCTTTTGGCCCTATTTGATCAGATTGGGAGTACTTAGAGTATAGCCACGGGTAGGAATAACCTCATTTTTGGTACCAAAATGGCAGCACATACTCCAAACCAGACTCTGAGGCTTCGTGGTTCTTGGCCTCAACCCTGAGCTCTAAAGAGTTGAAGAAGTGAAATAATTCAGTAGTTAATTAGAATCCTAGAGACATTCAAACGGTATGAAGAGCTTGTTCTTCTGTGCTAAGACCTGACATGTTTGTAAAATGCCTGGGGTCTGAATTCAGTCTAGAGGCTGGGAACACCACACCCTTTAGTAGCGTGTGATAGCACTATTTTAGTCTAACTTAGAATCTTTTTCCTGAACCACCAGTCTGTAGGGTTTCCTTGGCACCTTCCATCTAAGACATAAGCAAACTAGTTAAGGTTGTATGCATGAATCTGGTTGTCTTAGGTGCCAGGAATTTCAGTCGGGCTTATTAGAGTAGCAAGTAAACTGCCTAGTCTGTGTTGAGAAGGGTAAAGAGAAGCATCTATAGACTTCAAGAAAATAGAACTAAGTTTCTGTGGGTTTCTTAACCAGCATCCCAATACGAATAAGGGATATGAAGCTAAGGAATGGAAAAGAATAAGGAAGGCTTGTCAGGCAGAGTCCATGATTCCTATGAGTGTGGTCAGAGCTGCTGGGGAGCACTGGAATAGAAGTGGCATTCAGGGCACCTAGGAACGGGGAATCAGACATTTTTCTGGGTGCCAATGCCTGCTGTGCGAAAACCATCTGCTGCCAGCAACTTGGCAGCAGTATGTTTTCATCTATGTGAGTTGTTTGGTAACCCACATGTAGTGCCCAAAATAACCCCACATATCACTGCACTATCTGGAAATAGGATGAAGAACTTGAGAAGATGCGAGAAGTGTGTGAGCAAAATCAGCAGCTTCTCCGAGAGAATGAAATCATCAAGCAGGTAATACAGTTTCCCACCCACTCAGTAAGCCCTAAGAGACCCTGTTGCTACTAAGGCCAGCTCTTGGTAACAACTCTCATTGTGGTGACTTGGCTCTATTTCATGAGGTCTACATTGTTTCCATGTGACGTATGCATTTCAAATTGGAATAAACATAAGTTTTTAAATTTGCCATTTTCTGAATCTAATATTGTTGATATTGGAAAGTGGGAGTCAGCCTACTCTACCATCATCCTACCTCACTTTATTATGGTTTAACATTGAGCTAGCCTACATCTGTATCTGTTTTAGCCATAAATACTCAACAAGCTGCCCTGCATAATATACTTTGTCTCTTCTTTTCAAATAGAAACTGACCCTCCTTCAGGTAGCCAGCAGACAGAAACCTCTTCCTAAGGATGCCCTTCTATCTCCAGACTCTTCTTTTGAATATATCCCACCTAAGGTAAAATGATCAGTGCCTTTGTTACCTTTGCACAGCTTAGGTTTGAGGTGAGTGTGCTAAAATTGCCCTTTATAAGAGGCTGACAGTTAAAATTCCCAAATTCTAGCAGCTCACTTTTCTCTGGAGTCCCAGATAAAACTACAGTTCAATCCCAAGGAAAGTAGGCATTCTCGTGCGTCAGAAGGCTGACTTTGGGCCATGGACAGGCATTACCTAACACAACTGAGGAGGAGGAACAGGAGAAAAGAGCAATAATGTTCAGCTGTCCATCCAAAGATACTTATCTCATCATATCATGAGTTTCCCTTTCCTCCCTCAGATTGGTCAGCCTCCAATTTCAGTGCCTTCAAAGACTCTGCAAAGCCAAAGGTTAAAGCAGAATTTCTTCTGATTGGTAAAGCCAAGTGGGGTGGATTTAGGGAGTCTGAAATCTTTGCTCTGAGAATATAGCTGGCAACAGTTACTTGGAAGATATGATGCATATGTATTTTTTAATTTTTATTAAATAACTAACTACTCAGAACCTTTTTTCTTAGCCAAAACCTTCTCGTGTTAAAGAAAAGTTCCTGGAGCAAAGCATGGACATCGAGGATCTAAAATATTGTTCAGAGCATTCTGTCAGTGAGCATGAGGATGGTGATGATGACGGTGATGAGGGGGATGATGAGGAATGGAAGCCAACAAAATTAGTTAAGGTGTCCAGGAAGAACATCCAAGGGGTAGGAGCCAGCTCTTTAACTTTGTTTTTGTGTTTTATTGTTGTTGTGATTTTACTCTCTAGGCTAAGGAACCAAAGGAATTACAGAAAAAGCTAATAATTAAGGTCAAACAAGTTAAGTCTAGTTAGGAACAATCTGACTTAGGCATGCTTAGTTTACTTACACAATGATAGTCCTACATAATTATCAAACCTAGTTGTTTTATGTTGAAACATTAACTTCCCAGGCATTTCAGTTCAGCACCACTACCCCCAACTGTGCCCTGCAGCCACATTCACTTAAAAAGGACAGTTCACAAGTTATTTTAGCTGGCTTCCTAATTATTTGATTTGATTAGCCAAAAGCTCATCACCTGGGTAACTGAGCCTTATAAAGCCACACCACCAGGATGAAGCAAATCATAAGGTATAGACAGCCATGGTGGTAAGTCATTTGGTCAGTCAGAATCTTCGAGAATGCAACATATCATGTGCTCATAGTGAACCTAAGAGCTCATCCTTAGCTTCAGAGAGTTTATAATCTAATAGGAAAACAGGGCAAAGAAATAGAAGCATACCATAGAACCTCAGCATATGCATGTCAGGGAGATGGACTGAGGAGTCTTTTTTTGGTTTTTGGTGGGTTTTTTTGTTTGTTTGTTTTTTTGTTTTTTGTTTTTTTTTTTTGATGGAGTTTCACTCTTATTGCCCAGGCTGGAATACAATGGCGCGATCTCAGCTCACCACAACCTCGTCCTGGGATCAAGCAATTCCCCTGCCTCAGCCTTCTGAGTAGCTGGGATTACAGGCATGTGCTACCAAGCCTGGCTAATTTTGTATTTTTAGTAGAGATGGGGTTTCTCCATGTTGGTCAGGCTGGTCTTGAACTCTCAGCCTCAGGTGATCTGCCCGCCTCAACCTCCCAAAGTGCTGGGACTACAGGGATGAGCCACCACACGAGTTTTTAAGAGTGACTATAAAGCCAAACCAAGGAGGTGTAATTTAGGAAAATGCCATGAAGGAGGTGACTATTGCTGCATTGTAAGATGGATAGGGAAATACAGTCTTGGGAGCAACTGGGATGCATTTCTGGCACAATGAGTAGCATATTCCTAAGACTTGAAGGTTGTAGAGGAACAGAGGGTTGGGACACTTAGAGAAAATGGGACAGAGCATTTCTGTCTTTATTTATTCAACAAACATTTATGGAAGTTTTACTATAGTTGAAGTAGGAGAGCATGAGCTGGATGTAGATGAAAAGGTCAGCTAAGTAATAGGAGGCAGAGCTGAGATGTAGACACAAAAAAATGGTAAAGGCCAGGCACAGTGGCTTATACCTATAATCCCAGCACTTCCAGAGGCTGAGGCGGGTGGATCACCTGAGGTCGGGAGTTTGAGAACAGACAGGCCAATATGGTGAAATCCCATCTCTACTAAAAATACAAAAACTAGCAGGTGTGGTGGCTTGCACCTATAGTCCCAGCTACTTGGGAGGCTAAGGCAGGAGAATCCCTTGAACCCAGGAAGTGGAGGTTGCAGTGAGCAGAGATCACACCACTGTACTCCAGCCTGGGAGACAGAGCAAGACTGTCTCAAAAAAAAAAAAAAAGAAAAGTAGTAGAGGGGGCCTAAAGCTCTGGAAAGGAGTGTCCAAATGTGAGGCAAATATGGAGATACTTGTCCTCAAGGAAAGCTTCATATATTTATCATAGCACTGTTGCTCTAAGCTTAAAAGGGCAACATAGAAGTATAGCAAATATTGCAAGTAAATGATATTTGCTATTAGGGATAAATCCTATGTAAAACAATGAGGAATTTTTCTAGGCTTTTCCCTTGATTTTATAATTCGGAAAGTGAATATAACTGGGCTTGAAAGGGAGCAAGTTAGTATAAAATCTAGTTTCTCTAAAGTTACCTTTCGGCAATCTCAGAGTACATGGATACTATGACTGCTCTTTTATCAGACTGCTTGCAGTCATATTACCTGTAGACCTTGATGCTTCACAGAGAGGATCTTTATTATTATTGCTTCAACCCAGCTGAAGCTGACTGGGACTATCATTAGATTACTGAAAAGGAGATTGAAGGAAGCACCAAAATGATGACTTGTCCAGAGTTAATGGCTTCCTCACTCAGTCACATTTCCTATATGTACTAAGGAGATGCTGGAGGGTAGGTCATGTGCTATCACAGAAAAAGTAGTAACTTAGAAGCCAGATAGACATGGGTTCTAGTCTTGAGTTTGCCACTGGTTCATTGAGTAACCTTGAGCAAGTCAGTCTCCCTGGGCCTCAGATTCCTTATCTATGCAATGCAGGGTCTAGAACAGTGGTCCCCAACCTATTTGGCGTCAGGGACCAGTTTTGTGGAAGACAGTTTTTCCACAGACTGGTTGAGGGGGTGGTTTTGGGATGAAACTGTTCCATCTCAGATATCAGGCATTAGTTAGAGTCTCATAAGGAGCGTGCAACATGTACAGTTCACAATAAGACTCTTGCTTCTATGAGAATCTAATGCTGCCACTTAATCTGACAGGAGGTGGAGCCCAGGCTGTAATGTTTGCTCGCTTGCAGCTTACCTCCTGCTGTGCGGCCCAGTTCCTAACAGGTCGCTGACCAGTACTGGTCCCCAGCCTGGAGGTTGTGGACCCCCTGGGCTAGAATAGATTATGTATAAGGTTCCTTCTAGGACTAATATCCTGAGTCAAACTAATAGTCCAAGTTGTGTAAATGAGTTTTTATTATTATTATTATTATTTTTTAATTTTTTATTGCATTTTAGATTTTGGGGTACATGTGAAGAACATGCAAGATTGTTGCATAGGTACACACATGGCAGTGTGATTTGCTGCCTTCCTCCCCTTCACCTATATCTGGCATTTCTCCCCACGCTATCTTTCCCCAACTCCCCACCCACCACTGTCCCTCCCCTATTTCTCCCCAACAGATCCCAGTGTGTGATGCTCCCCTCCCTGTGTCCATGTGTTCTCATTGTTCAACATCCACCTATGAGTGAGAACATGCAGTGTTTGATTTTCTGTTCTTGTGTCAGTTTGCTGAGAATGATGGTTTCCTGGTTCATCCATGTCCCTACAAAGGACATGAACTCATCATTTTTGATGGCTGCATAGTATTCCATGGTGTATATGTGCCACATTTTCCCTGTCCAGTCTATCATTGATGGGCATTTGGGTTGGTTCCAGGTCTTTGCTATTGTAAACAGTGCTGCAATGAACATTCATGTGCATATGTCCTTATAGTAGAACGATTTATAATCCTTTGGATATATACCCAGTAATGGGATTGCATGTAAATGAGTTTTAATAATAATGCTTTTATATGGTGTTATATGGTATCTGAGAAGTTGGGAGGAATATATGCAAAAGCACCTTGTGAAGGATATAATATTATGCGGGTATTGTTGTTAAAGCACTGTAAGCATTTTATAAATATTCTCATTTGTCATGTTTGGCAGAAAAGAGGAAGAGCAGGTATTCTTGCCTCTATGTTACTGATGAAGGAATGGCCTGGGCACGGTGGCTCATACCTGTAATCCTAATACTTTGGGAAGCCAAGGTGGGAGCATCACTTGAGCCCAGAGTTTGAGGCTGCAGTGAACTATGATTGTGCCCCTGCACTCCAGCCTCAGTGACAGAGTGAGACCCCATCTCTAAATTTAAAAAAATTTTTTAAAAAAAAGAATGGAGGTGAACTTGGATAAGTGACTTGTCCAAGGTCATGCCAAGCATTAAATATAGGACTAGAGTCTGAGTCTCCTAATCCCTGCACTCCAGCCTCGGTGACAGAGCGAGACCCCATCTGTAAATTTAAAAATTAAAAAAGAAAAAAAAGAATGGAGATGACCTTGGATGAAGTAATTTGTCCAAGGTCATGCCAAGCATCACACACACACACACATTGCCCCACATACATGTATTAAATACATTTGTAGTTATGTCTGTGGTAAGGGCACTTTCTATCTTTGACATTCTAAGCTGCTTCCTGGTGTGAGAGAGAATAGGGTGAAGTTACAGCTCATGTACCTGGCATTCATGTGACTGCATCTGTCATGTATGTCATGACTGTTCTGTAATACCACTGCCAGGTGTTTATCTAACCTCTTCTTGCTTGAAGACTTCTAGTAGGGGGAGGCTCACAGTCTTACAGGAGAACTCATGTTCTATCCTTTGACCCAGTAATTATACACATAGGAATTTATACTAAAGAAATAGACATTGATATGTAAATGTATTAATTCATTCAACAAATTTTTTTCTGAGCACCTATGTGCCAGGCACTGTTTCTAGATGCTGAGAAGACAAGAAACGAGATAGGTGAGATTCTTTGCCCTCATGAAACTGATATTCTTGTGGGAAAGACGCACAGTAACCAGAAAAATAAAATAATTTTAGATAGTGATGAGTGAAAAAGAAAAGAAAATACAGTGAAGTCATAGAGAATGTGGGATGGGAAAGAGCACTTTAGAAGAGTGCTTGCAGCCAGGCACGGTGGCTCTTGCCTGTTATCCCAGCACTTTGGGAGGCTGAGGCAGGTGGATCACTTGAGGCCAGGATTTCAATACCAGCCTGGCCAATGTGGTAAAACCCCATCTCTACTAAAAATATAAGCCAGGCATGATGGTGCATGCCTGTAATCCCAACTACTCGGGAGGCTGAGGCACAAGAATTGCTTAAATCTGGGAGGCAGAGGTTCCAGTGAGCCAAGATGGTACCACTGCACTCCAGCCTGGGAGACAGAGCAAGACTCTATCTTAAAAAGAGAGAGAGAGAGAGTGCTTGGGGAGGCCAGGCACAGTGGCTTGTCCCTGTAATCCCAACACTTTGGGAGGCTGAGGTGGGAGGATTGCTTGATGTCAAGAGCTAAATACTAGCCTTGGCAACTAGCCCATCTCATTTTTTAAATTAAAGAAGAGTGCTTGGGGAGGTCTCTCTGAGAAGGAAATATCTAAGCTGAAGGTCTGAACAGTGAAGAGCAAGTTAGGAAAAAAAGAATCAGAACATTTCAGGAAAGGTGAACAGAAAATGCAAAACCTCAGGGCAGGAATGAGCTTAGTATCTCAAGGAACAACTAAAATGGCCAGCGTAGCTAGAATGTATTGAGAAGTGGGAAAGTATAGCATAAGCTACAGACAGGGGATGGGTAGTCAAGGGCCAGATTATGGAGGGCCTTGTCAGTCATGGTACAGTTTAGATTGTATTTCTATACAAGGATATCCATTGCAACATGATTTATAATAGTGAACAATTTCTTTCAAAACAATCTTAATATTTAACGTTAGGGGACTGGTTAAATAAATCAACATTATCCCCATGATGAACTATTACACACAACTATTAAAAGTCAAGTTTTATGATTTTTCAGATTTTGTAAAGGGATATATATATTATTCTGCTAATCAGGAAAAAAAACATTATTGTGGTTTCTACAGAGTAAAGGTGATGGTTCTTATATGAAAAAAACTTAAGGGCTTGAATTTGACTACAAGCTCAGTATGAATCCACAAAGATGTAATAAGAAAAAAAGCAACTGTGATTTTAGGCCTCATTAACAGGACTGTTGGGTCCATAACAAGGGAGGTGTTTGTCACAGTCCACTTCACAGTGGTCACACCACATTCAGAAAGTTGTACTCATTTCTGGATCTCACAATTAAAGATAACTTTGACAAACTGGTGTATAGTCAAGGTGGTGAGGATACGAGAGAACCATGTCATGTGGTGAATCATTGAGAGAACTAGGTATATTTAACTTTAAGAGAATTTGGGCAGAAGGGGACTAGGGAGTAAAAATTATGTTCAGGGTTTGAACAGTTATGCTATAAAAGTGGGGTTAAACTGATTCCATGTAATTTTAGATGACAGAATTGGGTCCTATGGTGAGAAGTTATATAGAAACTATTATCACCTCAGGATAAATAGAGCTTCAGATCATTAGACCAGGGATGTTAAGAGGGGCTTCATACATCAGATCAGTCTTTAGATGGTTGCTGAGGTCTCTTCTTACTCTTCCTTCATCCTGTGAGCTCGGCCACCTCTGTCTTTTCTAAGCCAAACTATCCCACTTTCTTCTACCGTTTTTCTTATAGCATGGCTTCCTATAATTCTGGTCACCCACCTCTTTTTTGTTTAACATCCTCTTTACACACTGAATTCCTGAATGTGTATACAAGATAACATGCTTATTGATTATATTGATTTAATAAATGGTAAGTCCTTATAACAGTGCCTGGCACACATTAATGTTAGCTGTCACTATTGCAGCCTTATTTAAAAGAGTGGAAAATGGCACTATGAGGAGAATGGGCAAACTGTGGCAAGTTCGTAGAGTGAAAATGAATGGAATTGAAGCTATATGTATCAACATATAATAAGATGTCATTTATACAAAGTTTAAAAATGTTTAAGACAATTTCTTGTTTTTGTTTTTGTTTTTTTTTTTTTTACAAAAACTCATATGTGTGGCCAGGCACTGCTCCTCTCACCTGTAATCTCAGCACTTCGGGAGGCTGAGGCAAGAGGATTGCTTGAGGCCAGGAGTTCAAGACCAGCCTCAGCAACATGGCGAGACCCTCTCTCTACAAAAACAAAAACAAAAAATTAGCCAGGCACGGTGGCATGTGCCTGTGGTCCCAACTACTCTGGAGCCTGAGGCAGGAGGATCACTTGTCCAAGAGGCTGAGGCTGCAGTAAGCTATGATTGTGCCACTGCACCCCAGCCTGGGTGACAGAGCAAGACCCTGTCTCAAAAAAAAAAAAAACCTCATGTAATAAGATACATACACAGGAATGGCAAATACCTAATTCAGGAAACTGTATGTCCCTGGAAAGGGGGAGGCAAATGAGATCAGGAAGGAGTGCATAGGAGACCTTGGTTATATCTGCATTTTACTTATTAAGGGTGGTTAGTGGGGGCATGAGTGAGGTTTTTTTATTACTACTGTCTATGCTTTTGTATGCATTAACAAAATTATGGTACCCTAAAATAGGATGTATTATTTCAAATGGGATCCAACCAAGCCAGGGTACAGTGAAATAATTACTCCCCATCTTTTCTGAACTCCAAATTTCTACCTGACTGCATTTGCTTTGGGACAGCCATTTCATGCTGTTGATTCACAGAGCTTGCTTACACCTCAAATCCCTAGGCCCTTTTCTGCACAGTCTTTTTTTAATTTTTTCTTTTGAGACGAGGTCTCACTCTGTCACCCAGGCTGGAGGGCAGTGGCATGATCTGCCTCCCAGGCTCAAGTGATCCTCCCACCTCAGCCTCCCAAGTAACTGGAACCACAGGCACACACCACCAGGCCCAGCTAATTTTTGGCATTTTTGGTGGAGACAGGGTTTCACCATGTTGCCCAGGCTCGTCTCAAACTCCTGAGCTCAAGCAATCCACCCACCTTGACCTCCCAAAGTGCTGGGATTACTGGCATGAGCTACCTCACAGTCTACTTTTAAGCTAGGTCACTCCCCATGTTGTATTTATATGGCTGATTTGGGGGGAACCTAAATACCAACCTTACAAAAACTTTCTACTTTCAGCCCTTAAGTCCAGCCTGTCAAAATATTTGTGAATTGTGATTCTTTTATCTTACATTTTACTGATCCTTCTAGCTAGAGCTGATAAATATGCCTACCTTATAGACTAGTTATGAGATTCAAATGAGATTTTGTATTTATGTACATGAAAGTAATCTGAAAAATGTAAAGTGCTATCAAATATAAATGATTTTATTTCATATCATCAGTGATTTATCAAAATGTGGTAAGGACAAAGCCCAGGCTAACACTGGACAAAATGTAGAAATGTGAGCTGGATGAAAGTACAGTTTGGTAATTATAAAAATACTGAGCAACTACACTCAGTTTTTAAATATACCTAACTATACTACCATCTAACTCACAGTTCTTCACTTTGCCCATAAAATGATCATAACATTCTTCGTCAGTTGCCTTGCATTATCATGCTAGCCCTCTGATCTGTTCTTCATGTATACTGTCCAAAAGAAAATGGATTTTTCAGCCAGGCACAGTGGCTCACGCTTGTAATCCCAGCACTTTGGGAAGCTGAGGCGGGCAGATCACCTGAGGTCAGGAGTTCAAGACCAGCCTGGGCAACATGGTGAAAACCTGTCTCTACTAAAAATACAAAAATTAGCTGAGCATGGTGGCAGGCACCTGTAATCCCAGCTACTTGGGAAGCTGAGGTAGGAGAATCGCTTGAACCTAGAAGGTGGAAGTTGCAGTGAGCCGAGATCACGCCATTGCATTCCAGCCTAGACAACAGAGCAAGGCTGCATCTGAAAAACAAAAAAAAAGTAGCCAGGTGTGGTGGCATGCACCAGTAATCCCAGCTACTCGGGAGGCTGAGGCAGGAGAATCACTTGAACCTGGGAGGCAGAGGTTGCAGTGAACTGAGATCGCACCAGTACAGTCCAGCCTGGGCGACATAATACAACTCCATCTCAAAAAGAAAAAGAAAATGAATTTGTCTGGCAAGACTTGTTCTCAATAAACCTATGATGGCTCTTGGTGATTACTATTTCACTAAAGAAGAGAGGACTAAGGAGATTGAAGCTTGGTATATAATAGTACTTTCCATTTTTCTAGAAAAGCTTGCGAATGAAGGGAAGTCATTGTAAACTAGTCTTCTAACCCTTTCAGTAATGTGTCTTTCTGCAAACGTGTTTTGCAGTGTTCCTGCAAGGGCTGGTGTGGAAACAAGCAGTGTGGGTGCAGGAAACAAAAGTCAGACTGTGGTGTGGACTGTAGCTGTGACCCTGCAAAGTGTCGGAACCGCCAGCAAGGCAAGGTAGGATCAGTGCTGTTTCCTCTCCCCATCCTTTCAGACCTCCACTAGTTTCCACCCTCTTTTTCTGCCTTCTGTCCTGAAACCTGGAGTCTCCTGCACAGTTCTTCCTACCCTTCTCCTTCCCTCCGCACCCAGAAAAAGAGATAGTTCACTTCTCAATCCTTTTTCCTTGCTGCTTGCCTGTTCACATACCCCTTTCAGAAACCACTGCACTTCCCAGGAGATTCCCATGTATAGAGCTCCCTACCCCAAGCCTTGGCTGTAAAGTTTCTGTACTGTTGATGAGACAACAAGGACAAGAAAGCAGGCATTCACAGGCATATAGACATGTAGGATCAAACTAGTCCAGAGGTTTAACTGGAACTGTAAGAGCCACGTACTGAGGTAGCAGCTTCCAAGAAGTTAATCCTCTGACATCTTGAGACATTTGTTACTTAGATTCTCTCCATGGGAACCAGCTAGCTATTTCTTAGCTCTAGGAAAAGATCCACAGGAACCAGGCCTTTCTAATAGTCATTGTTGTAAACTAAGTTAACCTAAATGTCCTCTTAATATTGCTCCCAGGAATAGCAAACTCAGGAAAATCAAATGTGCCCTGAGAAAAGCAGCACCAAGCAAGTCAGATCCCTATACCTGCCTTACACCTACCTGTGCCATAGCAAAAATGCATTACTCCAGCTCTCTGTGTGATACACAGTAATTCTAGCAAGCACAATCTAATGATGATTCATCATGCATTTCTTGAACATCTACATGTGAAGAGTTTCAGCCTGCGTGTTCTATTACAAAGTCTTCTAACATAGATAGGCAAGCCAGAGGTCAGGCTAAGACCTATAAAAGTAGCAGAGACCTTAAGGATTCTCTATCCCTGTGGTTTTTCAATTTGGGTTCAAGAGTCATGTAGTAGCTCCATGAAAGGGCCTCCAGGCAGAGAGGCAGTCCTTCCCTCCTCACCTATCTCTATCTCTCTTGGACTCAGTTTCCTTAACTGAAAGGAATACTAATACAGGCAACACCCTGTATGGATGCTAAAAGGGATATTGCAAATTATAGAGGGGGAGTTTAGTCAAACAAATGACCAAGACTTGTCTTTGCTTTAAACCTGGCCTTGTGAGATGTCCCATGCCACTGCCTAGTCTTCGCCTTCAGAGGCTACATACAAGCATTGCTCCATTCCTTCAGGGACAGAGCATGTCAAATACTAAGACCTCCCCAAGCAGGGCCTCCCTAAGACTTGCTTCGACTGACTAATCAGGCACTTACCTCTTTGGTTGAATGGAAACAGACTGATTTTGTAACCTTAGTAGCCAAATTTATAATATGCCTGTATTTTCAGGATAGCTTGAGCACAATTGAACGGACCCAGGATTCCGAAGGCTCCTTCAAACTGGAGGATCCTACTGAGGTGACTCCAGGATTGAGCTTCTTTAACCCTGTCTGTGCCACCCCCAATAGCAAGGTAGGTGGGTTAAAAGGCAGACATTGGAAAACAGGATTAGCATCCTTCTCTGTATTATCTATGATAGACCAGTAGGAGAGAGGCAGATGGAGTAAACATATAATCAGCTTGCTGGGAACTAGGGATTGGGCATAAACTAGAGTCTAGTTTTTCCGCAGAACAATCTTAAAGAAAACCTTATACTACTGGGAGTATGTCAAGCATCTATAGCAGCTCAGCTGGGCTGAGCTTCTGCCCTTTCTAAAGTCTATTCATACCTGTCTCTGTCCCTCCTAGATCCTGAAAGAGATGTGTGACGTGAAGCAAGTACTGTCAAAGAAGACTTCCCCACCTCCCTCCCCTTTTGACCTCCCAGAGTTGAAACATGTAGCAACAGAATACCAAGAAAATAAGGCTCCAGGGAAGAAAAAGAAACGAGCTCTGGCCAGCAACACCAGCTTCTTCTCTGGCTGCTCCCCTATTGAAGAAGAGGCCCGCTGAAGTTGGAGTCATCTTCTCTACCCCCAATCTGGCCTGGGAGATGCTTTCAGGTTGCAGCCAGAAGGGGTTTTTTAAATGACTTCTCTGGATTTCAGGTTTCTTGCTGTTGTAAAAAGGAACAAAGCATTACTGAAAAGAAGGTAACCTTTGTTGGATGTTGGCCCTCAGCCTCCAGCCCCAGACTACTGTTCTCTGTTCTCCAGAAGGGTACTAAGCCACCTACTAAAGAGAGAACCAACTGACTTTCCTAATGACTCATCAGGAAGCAGCCCTCAGTATGGTCAAGTTCTTTCTTATTTGTGAGCAGTTCAGGCTATCTCCTGATGGCTTTCCTATCTTTTGGTTGTCTCTGTTTAATGGAGGAGCCTGGCCTAGGATGGAGGCCTGGCTTAGATCTTTCACTCCACCTCAGGAATGGGGTTGTGATCTTTTCTGTCCTGACCCTCTCTGAATTGTGTTTCAATAGTACTCTTGACTGTCTGCCATGTTGTTGAAGTAAATGAACTATTTTTAAATGTTAAGTAAGTAAATAAACCTTAGCTCATCTACTGTTTGGGAAGATCCTTCTGTGCTCGAGGGAGAAATAAAATTTCAACCTGTGTTCCTCAGCCCCTGGGGTAGCTATTAAGGAGATTCATTTCAAGTACCTGAGCCTCCTTGCCTTATTGTAGCTGCCCTCTTTCCCAGAGGGTAGTGTGGAGTGTGACGGGTCTTTAAGTTGCTCTGCTACCCTAGGAAATTGGAATCGCGTTAGCAAGGCCAGTGGCCTGACCGCTGTAGAACCTGCCTGGCTTCCAGATTTGAGAGGAAGAAACCACATTTACTAACCATCTCCATGTTCTTGCCACAGTTTTATTTGTTTTTCACACACAAAAAAAAAGTCAACACAGATAGATGTCCTTATTTTGCAGATGAGGAAACTAGTGTGCAAAGAAGTTAAGTAACTTACCCAGAGTCACAAAGTTAGTGAGTAATAGAGCTATCACCTGAACGCAGAGCCACCATCCAAGCTTCTTCATTCTAGCCAACTCTCTAGTAGAGTGCCAGCAGCGGCCACTTCTAATGCCCTACAGCCTGATTTCTTAGTGTAGGAGAAGCATTGCACCACACTGCTGTCCAGTCCCAGGACAGAACAGCACTGACTCCTTGCTTTTTCCTTTGAAAGATGCTTACACCTTACAATGCATCAGGATTCTCCATCTCTGCTTAAAGCTAAAAGGGGGCCAGCCCTGGAATGCCATGCACAGGCTACTGACCAGCCTTGTAGCCTTCTGAGGAGTTCAAAAGCCCTGGGCTTCATGTCCATGCATTCTGAATCCCAGAACCTTTCTCCCCAAAAAAGCTCCCAGATCATCCCCAAAAACTCAAAAGCCAAGACTCCTAGAATCCACCAGAGTCCAAGCAAAAGAATTGAGCAACAGTCTGCCTAGAATGAAGCCTGCAATGTACTAGGTGACCTGCTAGCCTTCCCTGGCATCCTGCCAGCAAGCAGCCCTGCTTCTCTTTGCATTTTAATGCCGAGGGAGCAAGGGAGCCTCTGCCATTGCCAACTAGAGCCTCTGGATACAATGGGAAGGCTAAGAGGGAGGGGGGCCGGCTCTTGGCATAAGAGAGCCAGTCTTCCTTCTCGCTGTTTGAAATCCAGTGTGTGTGGGGGGAGGGGCAAGCAGGCTTATCCACAGAGAAAACATCCTTTCCCACCAACACTGCACTAATAGCCCCCAGACCTCAAGTCACTGCATCAGGCGTAAGGTAGAGGGAGAGGTCAATCAAGCCAGCCCCTGGCCCCCATCCCACCCAGACCCCTGTACTTTAAGCACTAAGCAAACCCTATAGCATGCTAGCCAGCCCTTCCTTGCTGATGCTGATGCTATAGTAACAGCATCTTTTGTATGTGTTGTTCATCTTCCAAAAGCCTGTGACCCCAGTATACTCTACACTCCTCAAAGGATTCTTGGAAAGAGACTCAGATGCCTTAGGGACAAGGCAGCAGAAATGACACAAGTCTCAGCAGCTCCTGAATGAGCATCTCCTGTCTGGGGTAATGAGGGAAAGGGAGAACTGCTAGTGTCACCCAGGATCCACAAGGCTCATGGGGACCTCCGGTCCAGAAAAGGGCAACTTGCTGTCCAGAGTTCAGGAAGTAGCTTATAGCTTCTGTTGCCCAGGCTGGAGTGTAGTGGCACGATCTCAACTCACTGCATCCTTGACCCCCTGGGCTCAAGCAATCTTCCCACATCAGCCTCCCAAGTAGCTAGGACTACAAGTCCACACCACCACGACTGGCTAATTTTTCTATTTTTTGTAGAGATGGGGTTTCATCAAGTTGGCCAGGCTGGTCTTGAACTCCTGACCTCAGGTGATCCGCCCACCTCCGCCTCCCAAAGTGCTGGGATTACAGGCGTGAGCTGCCGCGCCGGGCTGCAGCTTCTTATAGATGCACCTTACCTTACTGAATTAGAAGTAGAAGCTCAAGAGGGGAGGGAGCCTAATGAATAAAGGCTGTACTCCCAAGGAGCTTGAGATGAAGTTAGACACTCTCTCCCTCTCTCTCTCTCTCTCTCTCTCTCTCACACACACACACACACACACACACACACACACACACACTTTTCCAGTGGGCTGGCTGGGCCCCTTCTCCTCACTGCCAAGTTGCAAAGTTGTGTGGTCACCTCCCCCCCAGCTTCCCGCCTGCCTGTGCCCTCAGCTCTCACCTCCCTGAGCCAGGACAAAGCTCCGGCAGTGACTGGGAGGGGAATAGGAGGAGGGATAGAGGGATGGGAAAAGCTGCACAAAGGAATTCCTCACCCCAAGCCCCCTGACCGCCAGCGAGTAAAGAAGCAGATTTGTTCTCCCTCCCCTTTCCTCCCTCCCATCTTCCCACCCAGGCTGTGCCCAGGCCACAGAGCAGCTGCAGGCCTTGGGAGAGGACCCACACAGCCTCCTGTAGGTGGCAACAGTGCCACCTGTTTGACTCAGAGGGCTGAACCGAAGACTGAAAAAGGGAGGAGGCAGACCACTCGGAGACGAGCTGGGAAGCAGTACAGAGAGCAGAGCGGAGTGGAGCTGCCGCTGAGCAAAGGTGTGAGGGTTTGGGAAGGCTGGGGGGGCTACAGTCGGGAGCTGTGGAGCAGAGACCAGCTCCATCTCACAGGGATTAGGCCTGGGGATTGAATGGCACCTCTGTCAGCTCCCCTACTTGGGGTTTTCAGGCTGCTCAGACCCTGATCCCATCCTACAGACAGCTCCTGAAGGGAGGGGGACTCTGGAAGGCAGTGTCTGGGGTGCAGGGGTAGGACCCCAGGGGAGGCAAGAGCTTAGGGCAGGCTGTCAAAGTAGCTCCAAGATGGGCAGAGGCAAGGGCTTCCCTTTGGGTTGGCTTTTTACCGGGAAGGGTCTCGGAAGGGGAGAGGTTTCCTTCCCCCAGCTCCAGCTCCTCACCCCTACCCTAACCCTCCTTTCCCAAGGCAGCATAAAGAGGGCAGTTCAGAAGCAGCCACACCTTTCTCCTTACCAGACCCAGCCACTGTGCACCCCTCTAAGATTCCACAGCCTCGGGGGAGCTCTGAGGACAAGTGGTCCTGTCCCTCAGCCCACACACACAGAAGCTCACACACTTTGGGTGTACCCAGGGGCTCCTTTACATACTCAAAGCCACCTAAAATCGTATTGTAATGAAAGCCAGTTGTGCAAACACACAAATGCTGACACAAATCACACACCCTCTCGTGTAGAATCAGTCACATATCCAGCCAAGTCTGGGATCAGCTCAGTCAGCCAAACCCAGAAGTATAAGGTGCAGGGGTCCGCTGCCCTAAGGCAACCACACCCCGCATACACACCTTTGCCCTATGTTGGTTGTACTTTCACCAAAGCTAACTTAGAGGGTGGGGCTCCTGAAGGCGATTCTGGGCTTCTGGTTGGGGTAGGGGGGTGACTGGGCAGGAAAGGGCAGGACTTGAGGGGGAGACTTTGTATTCTGAAAATTCAAAGATTCCTTTAGAAGGCTGGGAGTGACCCAGGCAACATATTCACCTCAAGTCTTCCTCTTTTTGGCAGTGCCCTCTGTCCCCTGGGAGGTGGGCACAGAGAATCTTTCAGTCAGGGATTTGTGATCTGAACAATCTCCATATCCATAGCAACTGGCCAAGTAGCTGGGTCTTCCATAGCCCCAGGTCAGAACTGGAAACTTTGCTTCAGGTTACTCCTGCTTCCTGGGCTGGAAAGCAATTCAACATGGGGCTGCCTCCAGCTTGGCCAAACCTGCTTTAACTTGCTGAACTTAGTTTGCCCCACCCTGAGCAGTTTCTCTTGAGTGCCTAACTCCAGGGCAAGCACTCCATCCCCAGAGGTGTGTGCTGTTAACTGGGGAGGAGCTGGAGAGTGTGGGTATGCAGCCTGCCCCAAAAGAGGCTGGACCTCTTGGGTGTCCCATGGACTCTCCAGATACCAAGATTACACGGAAAGGAAGGCTCTGGAGATTGTCTCCCATTGCCAGGCTTGCAGCTAAGGCTGCTCGGCCTCATCCAGTCTGGCACTCTGGGCCTGCCCCGTGACCTCCGTTGCTGAGCAGCAGCCCAGGCCTCTGCCCCTCCCCCGGGCCCCTCAGATACACTGGGAGGGAGGCTGGGATCTGCCCTCTGCCAGGGTCCCTGATGGCCGAGTGTCCCTTCCCCCAGGCCTTCAACATGGCCGAGTCCCTCGGCTGCTGCTCCGTCTGGGCCCGCTGCCTCCACTGCCTGTATAGCTGCCACTGGAGGAAATGCCCCAGAGAGAGGATGCAAACCAGCAAGGTGGAGTAGGGGTGGAAGGGGGAGGCTGAAAGTCAGAAGGCAGACGCCCACTGGAGGGGATGAGAAGGCCAACTGTGCTCATAGACAGCTTGGGGGAAGGGGCTCTCTCTCCCAGGAAGAAAATCTCCCTCAAATATGGAAAGAGCTGCCCCCAAGCAGAGCAGCCCAACATGAGGCAGGCAGCTCACTTCAGCTGCCACCCGTTGGGGACTCTGAGCTTGAAGTAGGTATTGGTTGTGAGCTTCTCTCCTGCCCCTTTACAGTGCGACTGTATCTGGTTTGGCCTGCTCTTCCTCACCTTCCTGCTCTCCCTGAGCTGGCTGTACATCGGGCTCGTCCTTCTCAATGACCTGCACAACTTCAATGAGTGTGTCATGGATTCCCTCCTGCTTCCCCAGCCTAGCTCTCAACCTGCTCCCCACCCTGGGACCCCTGGGTGCCCCATTGTCAGTCATCCCCCAGCCCTGCTTCTGCTTGGAAAATCCCTCTACAAAATCTCCTCAATCCTCGGAGCCCCTGGCCCTGTGAGGGGCTTTCTCCTCACTCCCTTCTAGTCCTCCTGGATCCACCCATCCCAACTCCCCTCAGGCCACTATTGATACCGCTTCCCCCCCCTTGGACACCTCCCCCCCCCCCTCCCGCAGATTCCTCTTCCGCCGCTGGGGACACTGGTTGGACTGGTCCCTGGCATTCCTGCTGGTCATCTCTTTACTGGTCACATATGCATCCTTGCTATTGGTGGGTCCAGAGGCCACTGGCCTAACCCCCACCTCAGCCTTCCTTCCTGCTTAGTTCTAGCTCCCTATTCTCATCCT